AATAAGCAGCCCACCATAAATTGATAAAGAATATTCCAAGTTAAACAGCCAGATTACAAGAAGGTTAGTCCCCACATTGTGCATAATGCACTTGATTGGAGCAGAATTCTTACCTTAAAAGGTGCACACCAAGTGAAGAACGTCGACTGCCAAGCTAGCTTATCGACAACCATTCCTAGGTAATCGTAATCTATCCCCGTCAGTTCTAATTTTACTTTTAACTTTTACCCCACCCAAATCGCATTTAAGAACGGTTTCTTATAGAAACCGAATTGTTTCCACTTGAAGAAGGGCTACCATCATATTAGAAATGTCGAGATCATTAGCTGCACATGTCAATCACTTGCAGATGAATGAGTTGAATAGATCTGTAATAGCCCAAGCCCACGGCTAACAGATATTATTCTCTTTGAGTTTTCCCTTTCGGACTTCCCCTCAAGGTTTTTAAAATGCGTCTGCTAGGGAGAGGTTTCCACACCCTTATAAAGAATGCTTCGTTCTCCTCCCCAACCGATGTGAGATCTCACTAGATCTGTCCCAGATCTACATAAATTTGAGATTTTGTAGTGCCCCTAGAAAGAGTCTGAGAAGTTCCACACTCAGTCTATTGTTCCATTTATCAAATTTTCCCCTTTCTTTTCCCTTCGATTGGACAAGATGGACTGCACTATGCTTAAGAACTCTGTGGAATACAAAATCTTCTATCTACAAAGGGACAAACCAGTCCAGGCAAGAAGTTTCAAAATGTTTTCCCAAATGTTTAGACCGGAGTATGATCGAAGAAATAGCTAGTCCATGTGATCGAGAAATAGCTAGTCCAGACTTTTCCTACTCCGTCACGGATTATATTGGCATTTTAAAGTTGAGATGCCTACTCGCAGACCCTCTTTGCCAAACATTTATTTCCTCGAAGATCGTGCACCAAGTCGAGAATTCGATTTCTTGGGCACCTTCGATTCTAGATGAGCTTTTTGATATGCAAACATTTGGATTTGTTTTGTAGGTATTTATTTTCAAGATGTCCAGACCAATTGTTTGCTTTACCTATGAGGTAGATGTAGGATCAGGTAGTAGACGAAAAAAGACTTCAACCCCTTCCAGTCTAATAGCCCAAGCTCACCGCTAGCCGATATTGTCCTCTTTGAGCTTTCCTTTCTGAGCTTCTCCTTAAGGTTTTAAAACGTGACTATTATAGAGAGATTTCCACACCTATATAAGGAATGTTTCGTATTTTCACACCTATACAAGGAATGTTTCGTATTTCCACACTTATACAAGGAATGTTTTGTATTTCCACACCTATACAAGGAATGTTTCATATTTCCACACCTATACAAGGAATGTTTCATATTTCCACACCTATATAAGGAATGTTTTGTTCCCCGCTTCAACCGATGTGAGCTCTCACATCTAGTTTACATAGTATGGAATCCAAATTAGATCTAAGTTTCAGCTCCCCTAATGAATGGCCAGTCGAACCATTCCATAGCAAATGTTTTCCTTGTGGCTGGAAACAAGAAGGTGCAAAAAGTAGTTTGGTCCCCAAACCAAGTAGCCTCCCATATTCTGATTCACAGATATCCCAAATAACAGGGCTCCTTCCACTAGTTCTTCAAGTTCGTTTTGTTACCAACAAAACTTTAAAATTCCTAGTTCAATATGAACATTCATAATGACAACAATCTTGACCAACAACAGCACAATCCTATACCCCAGTTCTACTCTTATGCTAAATCTTCAGCCCTTGTTCATACAAATCATATAAACAAAAGCTAAAAAAGTAAAGGGAAATTGGATTCACAAGTCCAACCTATCCATTCACTAACCAAACTAGAAAAATCATTCCATTCCCCTTTCCCTTCCTCTTTATCATGAACAGGAATTACGCTACTCGTTGATCAGTACGCTAACCAGCTCAAACACAGAGAGTTCATCAAACAACACAGAAATGAAATACAACAATGTCACGAAAACAACACCCCTCGACTAAATTTTTCAAGATACCTTTTGTTCTCCAGAGGGCAAAGTTCCGATCCGCTGTAGAACATGAGGTTTCGGCGGCGACCCATCGCGAGAATCAGCCAGAAACAGCGAAGAAACAGGGTGACGAGGAAGAGAAGAAGAAGGAAGAAATGAGTTCTCAATTCTGGAAGAGAACGAATTAAGTGGAGTAAACTCGGAACGGGTTGATGAGGGGAAATGGAGCTTTGATGGGTCAATGCGACGGAGTGGAGGAAGAAAAGGAGCGCGATTAATAAGATGGGCTTTCAAGCGGGTCGGAGAAGAAGAATACAGAAGCTTCTCCATGGCTTCCAAGAGAGCTTGGTTTTGTGGGTGTGAGGTAAAGATTTAGCAAAGGGGGAGAAGAGGATTTGAGAAGATAAAGTTGTCGCTGGGATTGTTAAAGCTTAGAACTGGGAGACGATGATCCGATTTATTCAGCCATTGTTTGCTGTTAATCACTATCTAATCTCATTCGTTGCTTTGGTTTTGGAAGTCACCGTCAATAGCTATGAACTTTCTTTAAAATCCTTTACCCTAAAATAAAAGAAAATTCTTATTTTGAGATTTTGAATTCCAAATTTTTGGGAGAAAAATTATACGATCAATTTTGGCCCAATATTCAAATTCCATTTGTTTTATATATATATATATAAAAACTCTGTTCTAGCTTAGATTTATTTATAAGCGTGAAATCTAACCGCCTAATTTAAATTTAAAGGTGTTCATATGACTAACGGAAAGCGATGGATTACCCACTCAACTCAAATCATTATTGGGTTAGATTTTTTGAGTCTGGTTTGAAAAATAAAAAATTTGGACGAAGCAAGTTAATATTTTTTTGGTCGGACCAACCCACCAGCTGGAAATTAGAATTTGATCATTATAAAAATTAAGAATATTTTGATATTTGAGTTTTACGAAATTTTAGTTGTAATGTAATATGTATTATAAATAAACTCCTTATTTTTTATCCTTATTTCTCAATAAAATATATATATTCATATTTCCTAATAATTATATTAAATTAATTATTTAAGAAGAAAATTCCGTGATAAATAGCTTTTATCTTTCAATTTTCATTTCACCCAATTATATTTTAAAACGTTATAATATTAATTTTAAACCGTAAGTATTAGGTTTTTTTATCTTAAAAGTTAATAAGTATCCTAATTTTTGTTTTCCAAATAAGTATTCTTTGTTTGAAAAAATATTTAAAAAATTCTCGTTAAATAGATTATATAACATGTGTTCGATATTAAAATTGATGGAATTAAAATATATGTATATATGTATATATATATATATATGAATGACGTTTGACTTGATTTTACTATTATTAAAAAAAATAGTGGTCACTTGCAAAATATTATATATATATATATACTTTCTTTTATATCACTCATAAATTACTATATTTATCTAAAAGTATTTGATCTAATTCAGAAAATTAAAATTTAGAGATAAAATTGATATTCATTTTTTCACTGAAATAAGCACCAAAAAAAATAATCTCCATATAAGTTTATACCATTGTAGAGCTGATTTAAGAAATAAAAATAAATAATTACACAAATTCCATAGGAATATTAGCATTAAATTGGGGAAAGGTGAGCATGTTTTTGAATGGATAAAGTTATGTATTTAAATGGAATGGGTTTAGTTTAGTCCACAATGTGGTGGAGCCGCCCTCCACGACCCCGCGCGCGCTTGCCCTCACTCCGCCACACTCCAACCATGCGCATGTCCGCGCGCGCCACACGCAGCCTCTCATGGAACAAGCCCAACCACTCCTCACACTTGGGACATTGGTATTAATTATACATGACTAGCTTGGATTGATCCCAAAAATCTAAAGGGAATCGGGTTGGTTGGAAGTTATTTGTTTGACGAGAGAAGAAGATAATTGGCTCGATGGACTTATCGAGACTCGTTTGTTTATCAAAGAGGCTGGCAATGCTTATGGATAGCAGGAAGAGTGGCGAAGAGGGTTAGATGTTATTGAACTTTCAGGTTCGTTTTTGTTCTTGGCATTGACGTAAAGGGACCTCACGCATGTTGTATGACACACGAGCATAGATTACTTCTTTAGTATGTTGTGTGTGGACACGTGCATCATGTTATTATACACACTTTTTTCTTTTTCATTGATTATTGGCAGCAAGTGTGCGCTAACCCATAGTCAGGCATAAGGATACATTAACGAGCCGAATTAGTGAGTTCATGTGCGTATGTGAGAATCCTATGTACAAAAGTACTATGCATCCAACCCTAAAAAAAAAAAAGAGAGCCCAAGGATCAATCATGAATAGTAGGTCTCATCAGTCAAGAAACATGTTACATGTGGTTGCATTTTTGGACCCATTGGGTCACTGTATCTGAAGTCCTCCATTGACATGACTAAGTTAAGAGCATCGAGCATAAGCTCTCATGTCTTATACCCATGATTTTCCCCCTAATTATTCGTAGGACTCATCCTAAAATTCGTATAATTTTTTTTTAAAATCAATCTTGAATTAAAATATTTTATTAAAAAAAAAAAGTCAATTAAATAAGTAGGATGGAATTAAAATGACAAAAATAATCAAACAAATGCAATGCATTATGATATTATAATTTAATACTCTCCTTTTCATGATACAATAATTCAATATTATTTTCTTCAAATCAATAATTTAATACTCTAATTAAACCATAATATAATATTGTATTTTCTCATGCATTTTTTTATAAAAATAATAATTAATAAATGATCCAGAACTATAAATTAAAATTCATAACACTGAAAAAAATTATAAATTTATTTCCTTTAAATATAATAATAATACATACATACATACATACATACATATATATATAGATATATATATAATTTTATTTTTCTTATTTTAAAATATCTGAAAAATAAAAATAATTTTTGAGACTTCGATTTATGTCAGATTCTGTTTGCAGCCAATGAAAACACGCCACCGCATAATAATGAGACATTGAGCGAAGCGACGGCGTTTACCGCGGAGCATGTTCTTTACCATGGCTTACAGATGTTCATATTCTTGTGAATTTGATCGCTTTGGCCTACTTTCAGTTACTTCGGCCTCCGCGCTTCTTGCCGGAATCAATGGCCGATTCTCAACCGCTGCTGAAGAATCGACAGGAATTGCCGGACTCCAGTTGCAAAACTCCGCGCGTTATCTCACTCGATGTCTTTCGCGGTCTCAGCGTCTTTGTAAGCTCTTTGTTTGACCTCTGGATCTCGATTCACTATACACGCTGCATACATCTCTTTGTTTTGCCTGGTTTTCGTATGCTTTTTGAATTTACGGTTCATGCATAATCGTTTGGTTTTGTGCTTTTTGGTTTGGCTGCGTTTGGTTATCGGTAACAATGTGCCTTGTGTTGAGATGATAAAGGATGTAATTGAAGCTGATTCTTACTCTTATGTTAAAACGAGTGCAATTGGTTAGTTTGGAGCACGCCGTTTTTCTTTCTCCGGAACTGGTTATTGATCAATGTCCAATTAAAGAATTTCTCATTCTTGTTATTTCTGTTAGTTCGGCCTTTGAGTTTTACTTTAATGAGATATTACTTTTCTAATGAATTCCTTAAGAGGAAAATATGTGTTATGTGGCTGCTCACTTTAGCAAATCCGTAAATTGACTACTACCTGCTAAATTTGTGATGTTTGATTGTTGAATGCTATGCTGTCTGCTGTGTATATCCAGATGATGATGTTCGTGGACTACGGTGGCTCTTTTTTACCAGTTATCGCTCATTCTCCATGGAATGGGCTTCATTTGGCTGATTTTGTGATGCCTTGGTTTCTATTTATTGCGGGAGTCTCGCTTGCACTTGTTTATAAAGTAAGTGAATGGATTCAACCAAGAATTTTTGGCCTCTGGTTGGCTTCTTCGTTCAACTAGCTACTGCCCTTTCCTACGTGTGGAAGTAAAATCCGGGTAGACGGATCATGGTTTCTCCTGTTTTTGTAAATTTTTTCCGGGATTTTGTTTTAACATACAGAATTGCTTAAAATAGGAAGTAAAATGTAAAGTGACTGCTACAAAGAATGCAGCATGCAGGGGTCTATACCTTTTTCTTCTCGGCGTTCTTCTTCAAGGTAAAGTTATTTATGGTCACTTTTGTGCTGAACTTAGATTGTCAAGTTGTACTCGGTCAGTGATGTACTGCAGTCTGTGGTTCAGAATTTTATATTGATTTTGATTGCATACATTTTAATTGTAAGATCAATCATAATTTTTCCTGATTATTTCAGGTGGTTACTTTCACGGAATAACATCATTGACATATGGTGTTGATATGCAAAGGATAAGGTGGCTTGGCATTTTGCAGGTGTTGCGTTCGTCTCTCCTTTTCTGTGTGTAATTGCTACAATGGTCCAAGTTTGATCTAGCCAGAGCACAAAATTATAGGGTTTCTGTTACATAACCAAATTAATGAATTTGGTCCAGATTTTGAACTATATGATGTTGCTCCCAATATTTTTGAGATGGCTCAAATGCCATCCAAGCTAGATTATAAGCTGACAAAATGACATAACGTTAAATTATAGACAGGGATTTGGGCCAACTTTTCTTCCTCCTCTTACATCTAACATCAGGTTATGTATCTATTTTGATTCAATGTAGAGAATATCTGTTGGATACTTGATTGCTGCACTATGTGAGATCTGGCTTACTCGTTGTACACGTGAAGAAGCTCAAAATACTAAGAGTTTCAGCTGGCATTGGTAAGGATATAGTATTTGTTACCCTGATTGATGTTACATATGCATAATATCTAGAGGCTATTGCTTAAATTTCAATTTCATGTTTGGTGGTATGAATAATGTTTTTAAGTTGTCCTTTTTCTACTCTTTTACTAGGTATGATCAGACCTCCTATTTATGTATTTGTAACGACATGATTTTAGTTGCAAAATTTTGCTAAGAGAGTACTACAGACTTAGATATTGAGTGAAATTGAGAGTTATTACTCAATCTGATCTTGGTGGTTCATCACACTAGTTATTTTTAAGTCTTTAGCCCTTTATCAGAGTCATTGAAATAACCATTAGCAATAAGCAGTGGCATTATAAGAATACTTGAACTTCTCTATTTTATTATGTTTCTTCATGTTTAGCGTTTTGAATTTGCAGGTGTATCATATTTCTTCTGTTGTCATTGTATATGGGACTGTTGTATGGTTTATATGTTCCAGATTGGGAATTTAAAATATCAACCACGAGCTCTTCATTTCCACCAAATGGAAGCTATGTATACATGGTAAGTAAATACTATGCACCATGTTTGTGCCCATTTCTCTAGTAGCTTCATTTTTATTGTCTATTATTTTCTATTTTTAGAAAAAGGAGAGAACCCGTTCTTTATAGTTTAAGCGGAAAAAATGAGATAATATCGAAATGCTTATGTACTTACATCTGGAATGATACCCATGCAAAGTTTTACTTCGATCCATGTACCAGTTGCTTCATCCTCAAATCTAGGATGCTAAACTATGATAATCCTTTATTTGGTGATAGAAAGGAAGAGCTTTGGGCCATAACTTACTGAAAATAAGATCATTCTTGTTATAGGTGAATTGTTCTATTCGAGGTGATATGGGACCTGCTTGTAATTCTGCTGGGATGATTGATCGTTATGTTCTTGGTATTCACCATTTGTATACGAAACCTGTCTACAGAAATCTGAAGGTATCAGTTAAATCAGTTTTTTGATCTTGTAATGTTCACCATTGTTGTGTATTTTGATGAGCCCTAATGAAGAATGTGGTTTGAAGGAGTGCAACATTTCCTCCAGCGGTCAAGTTCCTGAGACTTCACCTTCATGGTGTCATGCTCCTTTTGAACCTGAGGGTCTTCTAAGGTGCAGATCTGTTCTTCTTCTCAGTAAAATGAATTTATAAAGACATGCATTCGTTTTGATGCATACGGGACTTTTTCAAGGGATGTGCCAACTTCAGTTTTAAATCAGACCGTTGTGTTTGAGAGAAATGCCATCAATTTTGGCCTTCAGGGAAATATAATATTAAGATGCATCCGCTGAAATTTAACCCCTTACAAATTGTTGATCTAAATTGTGAAGCCTTCAGATGATGCATTTCTTATGCTTCATTGAAATCTAGATTTTTCGTTTCTTTTCCCTTCTTTTTTTTTTGTAGAAAGAATGTTCATTCCTTACATACGTTATTTCACATGAGTACATTTTTTACTGTTGCAAATGTTTGCAGCTCTTTAACAGCGACAGTGGCATGCATAATAGGGCTTCAGTATGGTCACATTCTTGCCAATGTACAGGTGAGCTTAAGCAAGAATTTAGCATATTACTCATCATCTGATTAGGAAGTTCTCATTTCACATAATTTACTTATCTCAATGAAAAAAGTAGTATAGTGGACACTTTGTTTCCGATATAAACAATGCTTGCATAGTTTTTGCATGTAACGTAAAATACTCTTTTCATCCTTTTCTGCTTTTCTTTGATTTCCTCGTTGAAGTCAAACATTGTTCACTAATTGCATCGCTTCAATATTTTCCAGGATCACAAAAGTCGCACCAATAACTGGTTCTCGCTCTCTCTTAAGATCTTGGTGCTCGGAATATTCCTCGTCTTCGTAGGTATAGACTTGATGGAAGATGCATTGCTGAACACGTATCTATCATATCAACTAGGCTAATAATGTTGACCGATCATTGTCCATTTCTTTCTCCAATGTTTTGAGCAAAGTTATGCTATATATAATCTTTTACAATATCTGATTTTGTAACTGTCTTCCAGGTATCCCTGTAAATAAGTCCCTCTACACAGTCAGCTATATGTTGATTACTTCAGCGTCAGCAGGAATACTCTTTTGTGCTCTATATATATTGGTGAGTTCATCAATTTTGAGATTTTGGATTGAAGATGAAACCATCGTAGTGGAAGCAAGAATTTGGAATTATTCTTCAAACTGAATCATAATAATATAAATATCAGGGTGCGGTGTCGTTTAAAGAACGACTAACCACCTTTTTTTCCTTGTTAAATTCTATTCATGTATTTTTCTTAGCCAAACTAAATGGACAACTAAGGTCTGAAGATCTCTTAATTTCTATAGGTCGATGTCCACGGCTATCGATGCTTGACATGTGTTCTGGAGTGGATGGGGAAGCATGCTTTGAGTATTTATGTTTTAGTAATCTCCAACATACTCGTCATTGGGATCCAAGGATTTTACTGGAAATCTCCTAAAAATAACATCGTAAGCACTAAACAATGGAGCTATTTTTTGTTATGGGAACTGGGAAGTCCATTATTTCTTACAATAAACCCGGTTATCTTGAGATTCATTTTCAAACTTACTGTGGTTGGACTTTTACAGGTGCACTGGATTCTAAGTCGTGTCAAAGCTCAAAGTTGAAATAATTCGAGCACCTGTTTAAAGTATTATGTGGAGCTGCTAACTTGCTGGGGTTAATTTTGGATCATACTCGAAATCACCCTGCAAATATTAACAAACAAAAAAAGTCTGGCAAGAAGATAACAGAGCTATTGCAAGTAAGATCATAAACTAATATGCATAACCCCAATGTTCCCAAGTTTTTAGTTTAGCATATAGATATGTGTCTAAGATTTCAGACATTTGCCTGACACCAAAACTGTAATTGTTGTTGTATTATCTGTGTGAAATTCCTGGGATTGAGAAATTTGTTACTCCTAATAGAAATTTTAAGGCAAAACTTTATCAGCCATCAAGTTATTTACTTGGGAGATTGAACATTTGATAGGTGTAATGAAATTGTCTGTATTTGCAAGGAGAAAAGTTCATTCAAGTTGGATTTTGATTTAATCACAGACTAGAATCTAAAACTTCGTACGGTATGTTGTTGGTGTCATTCTTCAGACTGTTAATTAGGTTACAAGATTTTGATATTTATTCAAAATGATGAATGTAAATTTATGGCCAGTGAGGACATTTGAATGCTTGTGCATGATAGTGCTAGCTGTTGTCCAAATGACAGTGTCTCCATTTTCCCTCAGTGCTTTGAGAAGCAGATACATAGAGAGACAGAGAGAGAGAGTTCCATTTGCAGGTGCTTGAAGCTTTGAAAAAGCGATGAATCATGTCTTCTAAGAAAGAAAGACTGGATCCGCCACCAGCTCCATTCATGGGGTTTTACGAGCTTAAGGTTTGGTTCCTTTTGCAGAGGTGTACATGGCCACTCTCATTTTCTTGTACATCACCATCGCCACTTTTATTGGAAATAACGCACAAGCAGCACTCTGTAGTCCTGTTCTGGCGTTGGCCTCCTCGGCCTAGCATGGTTCTTCCATGCCATGATCTTCATCCTTGTTTATTTATGACATTTATTTATGCTCGGTGTCATGATTATGCCTATTCAGGACATGTCATAGTTGTTGTATACCATGTCAAATCATTGTCTACTTCTATTTTAATATTATTTTATCGTTTTCATTTTGTATTATTTTATTATTATAATATCTATCACAAAATGTGCTATACATTAATGTTTTTAGTATTAAGAGATTATATGCTATCAATGTCGTTGTTAACAGAACTAAGACTTTAGCATATATCGTCCATACCAACTGTGACATGAAATATATCGTCCATACCAACTGTGACATGAAATATATCGTCCATACCAACTATGACATAATATATATCGTCAATACCAACTGTGACATAAATTTGAGTTCACTAACTTGTTCGTTGGTGCGAGTGAGTATCACGAAAATGCTTTGCAAAGTCTCGAGAAAAAGCGATTGTGACACATTACTAATAATTAAGGGTTGAATTGCTATAATGTTGGGTTACAGTATATTTAAATGTTTTTTCCTTGGTAAATGAATAAGCCTAAATGTTTTCAATTAAGCGATTTAATAATAATTAATTTTGTAAAAATGTTTAGTTATAAATCATTTCAATTGATATTTAATGCCGCAACGATTTTAAAACATTTTAAAATGATTAATGTCTATTTACAAAAGTAGTTTTAGAATCATCCCATTTAAAAAGAGTCTTATATTTGAGATTAAAAAAAAAAATTAGAAGACGGTAGACAAAAGTTACTGAAGATAAAAATTTAGAAATATTTAAGAGACATTTTAAAGATAGCGGTTAAAATCAGAGATAAATAGAACAAACTTCTATAAAGGAAGAAAACAACTTTTCTTTAATTTAATTGCAAGACAAAATAAAATAGGAGAGAATTCTTTTCTAATGTGAATTCATAGTCATATTAAAAACAAAATCACTTACAATCACTTTCTATAGCTTTGCGTACAAATCAACTGCTTTAAATACCTCCCCACTACTTGGATTCAAAAAGCCTACACGAAATAAAATTTAATCAAGTGCACCAAGCCATGCTTACAAAGAAATATGTAATTTCAGCGTAGCATAGCATAGAATACACGTAACGGCCCGCCCACTGCTAGTAGATATTGTCCTCTTTAGGCTTTCTCTTTTGGGCTTTCCCTCAAGGTTTTTAAAACACGCCGGCTAGAAAGAAGTTTTCACACCCTTTTAAAGAATGTTTTGTTCTACTTTCCCCTCTCTAACCGATGTGGGAATCTCACATCTTGTCTCTCCTCGTGAGAAGTATATTCAGCACAGCACATACCAGAGAAAGGTGGGCAAGAGTAAAAAGAATGTATGCATGCATGCATGTATAATTGAGCCAGAGCCTCATATAAACAAAATACCTTAATCAGGCAATGCAGTTCCTCGCTCAAGATTGTTTTTGATCTCCAGAGTATATCTACCAAAGGCCCGCTCGATCTTTTTGTTGAAATGTTCATTACGATCATTGATAGAATCGATATCCTTGTCTTCATGGAACTTCCTCCTACGGCTAAACGACTTTCGCTTCTCCTCCCGGTCCTTGAGTTCTTTCACCATATTGTCAATCTTATCCTCTGAAATCTTAGGTGCCTGCAGGATAGTGACACAAGATCTATATCCTCAGAAATCTGATAATCACACATATGGTCGAAATTATACAGTGGAACTAAGAGTACCTTTCCATATTGAAGACTTGAAGCCTCACGGTAGAACTCAGGATCAGATTCTTTCATTTTATTATATTCCTCAAGGTCAACATTTACATTCTTCGTCCGCTTTTTGTATGCATCATACAACGTTTTCTGGTTAAAAACTGTTAAAACCAAAGCAGTTTAACCCTTTTAGATAAGTATTTACATATTAACAACAAATAGATAAAATACAACCAATTAAGCAAACTTTATATCTAAGTCCTCCCCCCAAAAATGTGATTACTTTGGGATATAACACGATTCATAATTAAACAAACACTTAAATAGCTTCTTTATACAGTGAGAAACACCAGTACATTAAGTACGAAGTTTTTTCAATTCACAATCAGATTCACAATATCTATACCCTAGATCAAATCATGTGTTCGTCATCAACTAGCAAATTAAGGAATCGAGTCAAATTATTAAAAAATGTATCTGTCCATAAAAAAGCAGCTAAGATCACCATAGTGTAAATTTGTAGTACAGATAGAGACTCACCATCCCATCCATAGGGAGCTGGATCCTTCTCCCATTTCTTATATTTGGACTCTGCTGCCTCTTGTGTATCTAACATGTATGCTTTTGTCATATCCAAGCCATTCGCATCCAAAAGCTTCCCGATTTTCTTCTTCCGATTCTCAAGCCACTTTTGTTTAGAAATGCCTCTTGATTCTGATGGAGGTTCCATTTTCTTTTTTTCAGCAGCTATTGCTGTCTGATTAGCTTTTCGTGCCTCATTCTGCATCCATGGATCCATAAGTCATTACTTGATACTTGATAGGAATTGTTAACTACTTTTGGAAAATGTAGAAAATTACCATCTTAAGCCTGAGTTCAAACAATTTCTTTTTCCTCCCTGTAAGTTTTGTGAAGTCTCCTTCCACATTCTCCCCACCACTCAATTTGTCAGTATCACCATCACTATGCCCTTCTTCTTCAGGCTTTTCATCATGAAGATCTTCATACTCGTCAGGAGGCGCAAAATTGGAAGGAGCACTACTTCGACCAGCTTGAACAGCTTCTGATGAAGTGGCAACTGTGATCAAAATTCACAAGAAAACATATACATGAGATCAGAGAGAAAGGTAACAAATGATATCACTTGAATTTGAAAGGTGGAGGAGGAATGGTTAAGCAATTTATAGGGCCAATTTTTAGCAATGTTAAAAAAGCTACGTAATTCAAAGAAAACGTTAACAAATTAGACAAAAGGATAAATAGTGATGAATAATGAAATTGTCAGCTACAATACGAGAAGGTCATTATGTTCAAGGGAGTTGCAAAGAAATTGTAGCATGTGAAAAAACCTGGCTCATTTTGCTGATTCCGGGCTTTGACTTCTGCTATTATTTCAAAGCAGTACTCGCTACATTCATGATAAGGATTAGAAGCATTTCTACAATCAGGGTGTACTCTTCCTTCGTCAGACATCTCTGCAACAACGTCTCTTACTCGCTGCAAATAAAGAGTCATAATTAAACGGAGCTTTAAAATATACAAAAATTCCGGAAACTTAAAGCTGTAAAAGAAAATTTTGACAATAAAAGGCATCATTGGATGAATACGAAGGTTACACGATCAATCAAACGAGTCAAAACATTCAAACTTCCAACTTAATTTATCGTACCAACGCCAACAACAATCCTCAATTTCTCCGAATGTATACAATGCGCGCGAAGTGTCCTCAATGGAAAATTGATTTTCCTTGCATGTCTTTGTTTTTCACAAGAGGAATTCGAAGGAGTACAATCAATTAATCAATTCCGGAGCAAACTACAACAATATCAAGTCTACTACAACACACAACAACAAATAGCAGCATGAACATTATCACTGATTCCAGACAAAACTTGCGAATCAAAACCGAAATTCATCCGGAATCACAACGAGAAAAGCAATATTAGAGATTTAGAGGCGGTAAAAGCAAGATGCAGAACTATACCTGAAATCTAGGTTTTCCGCGCGGGAAGAACTCGAAGAAGAGAGCAGAAGAGGTTCCGTTCCCGATTTGGGAAGAACGAAGAACAATTGCTCAAGATTTCTTCCGAAACAACAAATCCCTTTAAAATTCTCTAAAATTTAAATACAAAATTAATTTTGGTTTCTAATTAGGAATAATAGACTCATATATTTTATTTATTTATTTATTTTTATTATTATTATTTAAATACATATATTTAATCATTCTCTCTGTCATTTATTTTTTTTAAATCAAAATTAAAATAAGCATTGTCATTTTTTACTATTTCGTATGTTATTTTTTGGTTGTTGAAATTAAAAAAATTGCTTTATTTCGTCTCTATGTTTTATAATTAGGCAATCAAACCCTTTATTAAATAGTTATTTAATGGAGGGCTAAAGTGCAATTTTTTTTTAAATAAAAAAACTAGTTTTAAAATTCAAATTAATAATTCGTTTTAATTTTTTTAAAGAAAAAAATAATAATAAAAACTCTCTCCTTTTCCTCCTCCGTTCACCTCCTTTCCGTTGGATGATGGGGAATGATCATGGATTTATAAGTGAGGAATACTAACTTCATTGGGTGAGGCCTTTTGGGGAAACCCAAAGCAAAGTCATGAGAGCTTATGCTCAAAGTGGACAATATTATACCATTGTGGAGAGTCGTGTTCGTTTAACACTTTCCACCTATGACCCCGGCCCTGCCTCCTTCCTCGTCCCCTCTCCTAGCTCCACCAATGTCAACATAACTCTTATATGATCAACGAGATTTCACGTTTAATTATCTAAGATAAATAAATGAATCGTTATTTCGAGAATAATGTGATACAACAGCATGTCCATTAAATTAATCCTATTTTATTTCTCTTTATATATTTATTGATTTATCTCTCAACTAATTAGAATTATTAGAACAATTTGAAGAGCCAGATTGTAATTCTAAAATTTATAGGGACCAAATTGAAAACTATGACTAATTTAGCTTATAATTTATAAAAGAAAGTTGAATATTACATTCGGGTTGAAATTGATGGGCTTTAGGCCCATTAGAAGGGTCTCTCGACAAGGGCTGTACTCACGATGGCCCATTCAACCAGATTCGGTTGACTTTTTAACTATCGCAAAACGGCGTCGTATTGACTTTCCCTCAGAAAAACGCCTCGTTGAAAAATAAATTCCTAATAAAATAGAGGGATTTTCAACCCGTCCGAAAACTTTGAAACCCTAGCTTCCACCTTCCACAGCTCAGCTCCGACGCGCCGCCTCCCTTCCCGGCCCTTTTCCATGGCTTTCTTCACCGGTGGTGGCCGATTCCGCGAGCTTCTCAGGAAGTACGGGAAGGTCGCAATCGGAGTTCATTTCTCAGTGTCGGCGGCTTCGATCACTGGCCTCTATGTCGCCATCAAGAACAATGTCGATGTAGAATCGCTACTCGATAAGCTACACATGGACGGATTCTCTTCCAAAGATACGCCACAGACAAGTCCCTCCGAAATCACATCGTCCGTAGACGATGGATTTGTGATCGAAGAAAGACCTACATCAGGAATTCAATCAACCGTAATGGAAGAGCCGCGGAAAAGGAATCGTACAGCCGAGCTCGCAGCGTCGACTGGCGGCGCGTTGGCTTTGGCCGTGCTTTGCAACAAGGCATTGTTGCCGATTCGGGTTCCGATCACGATTGCGCTCACACCGCCGATCGCGAGGCTGCTGGCGAGGCGAGGAATTATGAGAAGTGGTTAAGGAACTGAATCCGTCTCATTTCTTCATCATCTTTCTTGTAAGTTGGATCGGCGATGGTCGATTAGAGTTAAGCTTCTTCTTCTCGCGATCAACAGAGTATAATAATCCATTTTCTACGTTCTTATGAGATATTTTTTCAAGAAAAATTTGTCAAAACAGCAAATGAATAAAATCCCACTGTGAGTTCTTCCATTTCGTTCTTCATTTGATTTCCACTGAAAATTCGATCGTTTTTTTTTTTGTTTTGTTTTTTTTAGACTGAATTCTATAGATCGAGAGAATAAAACTAGGCATTATATTTATAAATGAATTTTATTTCTTACCCAGTAATTAATAGAAACATTAATAATGAGAATAAAAGTTAAAAATATTTAGGCCCATTTGGTTTGTTTTATTATTATTATTATTATCTAATTTCCATTTTTATGTTTTTAGAAATAAATAATTCATTATAAAAAAAATTAAATTAAAAAAAAAAAAAAAAAAAAAA